TATTTTTCTTAATATATTCCGAATATGGTCTGTAGACCACATCCATTTCGCTTTGAAGATATTCCATTTTCAAATCTGCCACTGGTGCAAGTAGATCACCCAATACTTGTTTTAGATACTCTCCTTTTGTCTCAGGAACCCCTTGGAATCTCAGGATAAAGCTTGTTTTTCCATTTGTAGTTGCAAAAGCTGAGATTCGTCAGTAATTCTTTTCTTTTCCAACTCCTGTACACGCTTTTTCACCTTTTTAGATTTGGCATTAACTTCCTTCAGTGTTTCTGCTGTTTGCTCTGTTAATTTCTTGGTTTCATTCAGTTCCAGTTGTTGTGCAGCAAAGTTCTGGTTCAAAGTAGTCAGTTGCTGATTGATGTTTGTCATCTGGTCCAGCAGAGGGCACAATGATTCAGCTAATAGCTGTGAAAGCTCGTTGGTAGCTTCCGGTCTCGGGCTTCTACTTCCCGAAGGAGGCTTAAGCTGCGATGGTTTCTCTTTCTCGCCTCTCCACCCCGCCATTTTTGAGGATTGTTCAACTTTAGAAAAGTTTGCTAAAGTCTCTGTTTTGCACCAAAACGCTTTGCTGCGCTCTTGTGTGCTTCTTAAATCAGTTCTATGGCTTTTACGTCCGGCACCCTCTTTTAAAATGATCTGCTTGGATATAGCATCTGGGAGTTCCCTCCCCCGCTCACTTAAATCAGAGGGGCTTTCTAGCTGAAACTCGGTGTTTTGCTTTCACCACGACTCACAGTTCATTGTTGGTCCTAGGACATGCCTCAGGTACGTGTAAAATGCCTGATCTTCACGCGCTTGTCCTGGTCAGCGACTCTAGTGCCATGCGGTCGCACAGCGGTAGGACCTTCAGGGCTGAGGGAAGCCTCGATTCCCTGGCATCGAGCCAGAAAAGGGGCAATCCCTCAAAAGCCCCATAGCTAGGAGCCCAAACACAAGGGCTCTGGGGGGGTGTAGCGGACAATGGCCCCCCTTCTATCCGCTGGCATTCGGATCGCGACCCCGGTAGCTCACCAGGGTCACATCCGCCATCGTGCTGCCAAGAACTGGAAATCGAGCTCCAGGCTTCTAAAGGGAGCAGTGGCGCAGGCGGTTAAACGCCTGCCAAAGTAACAACTAGAAACAGCCACTATGGCTGTTCGAGAATCCACCGCGGCAAGGGTGAGCGCCTGGCCCGACTCCCAGCTCCCGCCCACCCAGCGGCCCGAAAGCAATTAAATCAAGCGAGTAGGCAAATGGGTACCCACCCTTAGAAGGGTGGGGGGCACCCGCCTCCGTAGCGAGGTGTGTGGTGGATGCAGCAGCGAGCGGCGAGAACATCAATGGCGGCGGCGGCCAAGCCTGGGACGGCGTGGTGCGGAGAAACATC